CCCCCCCCCCCCCCCCCCCCCCCCCCCCCCCCCCCCCCCCCCCCCCCTCCCCCCTCACATTTACAGACACACTTCAATAGGAATAGATTTGACAGTACGGCGGAGTACAGCCTGAGCCCATTGTGACAAACACACCAGAATGCTAGACAGTTTGTGACAACCCAATTCCTCTAATCCTCGGAAAGACAGTAACCCCTCACCCACCGATAAATCTGTCAACAAAGCAATCAAAGCAGCGCAGGAGCCACTCCTCCCTCCAACAAAAAAATCCCATAAACTTAATCCTCACAAACTTGACTGGCCTTAAAAAGCTCCCGTAGTGTTATCTGTGTTTAATTTGCATAGTGATGGAAAGAAGTCAATTACTATTAATTATTCTCTACAACTTAATACCCATTATCGAATTGAATTCACCGTCTTGAAAACCATAAACTCAATTTCACAGCTGACTAAGCGCACTAATCATTTCCTCGCCCCACTTTCTTCTTTTTTACTTCACGAAAGCCTTCCTGCTTCAAAAAGAACAACACGGATTCCTCGATTCCAGGAGCAATAACATTAACAAACATGGATTCCCTTATCGTCTCAATATAAAGACAAACATCAATCATCACGTGTGTGAGTTTACATCTCCAGCAGCATCCTGGTAGTGCGAGCTGATCGCATAGCATCACTTGATGGGAGTGTGTGTTTTTTCTCCCAGACTCGGCTTCCAAATTGCTTCGCTATGCTTTAATGGGATGATCATAATTGTTTCGTACTCGGTGCATCCTAAGCTTTCGCCTGCAGCTCCTTCAACAGATTGACAGACCCATGGGAACCTCACAAACTTATTTTGGCCGCCTTTGAACCAAGTCGTGTGTGAAATAATATGATTATGCATTTTTCCTCTGGGTAAGTTGAAAAACTGGTGGCTAGTCTCTCTCCCTCTCTCTCCCCCCTACCTCCTCCTCCTCCCCCTTCTTCTTAGTCTTCAAACTGCCCCTGCTCTAATATCCTGCAGTCTGACCGCGTTTAGTATTTATCCTCCTCAGAAGTCACGGTAATAATTGTGCCCCGGCCTCTCAAAGCGGCGCTGCGGTGATGGGACCTCGGCTCCAGCCACAAGCAGCCTGTGATGTCTTGACACACTTTGTGATTTGTCATCATCTCTGACCCCCCTCAGGTAACACTTTGATATCACTGGGAGAGTGTCGACCTAAACTCTTAGCAGGCGCCAAATGCGCTTAGTTGATCCATCAGCTCGACTACGGGGGGACCTCACGAGGCGAGACAAGCTAAATTCACTAGAAACGACTATGACGACAATCGCATCCCAAGTGCACGGAATCAACACACTAGGGACTCTTTAAACTACCGCCCTGTCTGGAGGAACATCTCTTCTAAACATCTCATAAACCAATATATTTACTTGTTCTTCTTGAGCTGGAGCATTGTGGCAGAAGTACTTCTAAAGGTCATGAATTAGATGAGAATATGCGTTTTGCTGTGAGGTGGAGCGAGACGTTAAGAGTGACTATCTCATCCCCGAAAGGTCACAGCAGGTTTGATCCCAGCCTCGTGTCCTTGAGCTGAAACTCTCACCCCCTAATAGCTCCTCACGCGTTAAGCCTCTCTGGATAAGAGCATCACTTTAATACCGAAAATAAGGAGTAAATAAATCCCAGAAAACTTTGGCAGCGTGGGTTTCACGCACACATTAGAGGGACGACGACTATTAATATCTGAACGTTGCAGCAGAACACGCGCGCGCCGTCCAATCAAGATTGCAAAGTGGCAGCTCCAAATCCAGCTCTCGGCCCGGTTCTCTTTTTAAACCAGAACTGTCGCACTCACAAATCCTCCCCACGCCGCAGCGTTCAGGTAAATGAAAACTGACACACACTTTCATTCTTCCTCGCAAGGTTTTTGTGTGTACGGCCCACCGCAGAGTCATCTGGCTCCTCCGATGGTTGTATTAAAGGTAGAATTTGTTGGCCGCTCGAGGGATGGGATGGGGGGGGGGGGGGGGGGTCCAGCCCATAGAATATCCTCCAAGCTCCCGAGGGAAGCCGGGGTTGTTTATCTTCCCGTTTCAAAGAGCGGACGCCTGCGCCTTATCACAGCCTCGCCAAGAGTAGATAGCGTTTAGGTTTGTGCAAACATGCCTCCACGCTGCATCTGGCAATCTGGAGAGTCCTTTCCTAAAGGGTTTCTGCATGCCGGTGCCGTTTGTGTTATCTTGTTGAGGGATTCGGCCTCATACACCGAACCAGGGGAACAATATTAACAGAGAGTTAAATGTTGTTGTTTTTTTTTTGGGGGGAGGGGGGGGGAGGGGGACCTGTATATAACAAACTGCAGGTTGAAAAAGCTGGAATAACTGTGAGCCATGAAATGAAAGCCTCCAATTATGATTGGGAGATATGTTTGAATGTCTTTTGAATGGGACGCTATATTTAATATATATTGCAAATTGAATTTTTTTTTTTCCTCTGCTGCATTTGACCGATATGACTTTCTGTAAGTTGGTGTGTTTTCTGTATGAAAGAGGCACTCCACAGATTCTTAAGCCTGCGTATTGAAAGACATTTAGCAGGTAGGAGGAGGAATAAAGATGCTTTTGTTTGAATTATGGGAAATATATGAACTAAAGCGATACTACGGACAAATAAAACCTGGTCATCACGGCCTCTGATGCTTTGATTTTACCATTTATTTTGTCTTTCTCATGAGTCCCCTGTATGTATGGAACTGTATGAAAGTAAAACACTAAACCTCCGGAGTAAATACAACAAACGTCTTTAACACACCTGAGAAAAAGGTATTTCTCCTTAACATTAAGTCTTATAAATATAACATTAAAATGATCAAAGTGAAAGTTCAGGGGAAAGAAACACTGTAAGAGTCAAAGACTCAACTAATCTGCTACATCGGGACTGTGTGTGTGTGTGTGTGTGTGTGTGTGTGTGTGTGTG